TCTCTTCCTCCTACATCTGGCCCCACCCCAGTGGGGTCATCATCAGTGCCATGCTAGTGTGTATTTGGTTCTAGAATGAAACAGGATGGGAGTGTGGGAGTGAGACGTCATTTCACTCTCTCTTGATGCTTCGGTATTTTCACAGGGAAATGCAGGTTCTCTGGTCATGTTACTACTGCTCGGTTAAAAAGAGGGCATTCTTTCCTTCCCAAGGCCAAACTCTGAGCCCCAGCATCACCTGGCTAGTCTCCTTAGGAAATCCTGACCTCCACTTGTACTCTCCTGCCAATCTAACATGCATCTTCCATTCGTGCAATGTGCGCTACCATTGATCATAAAGGGGACTTTTGTTCGTTGAAAAGGTTATTGGCATTTGCCACCATTTGCCTAATATTTCCTGAAGCATTCTACCTTTGCCCAACAAAGCTATTCCCTAGAGTGGCTTTTTAAATTCCCTTCGCTTCTCTGAATTCTAGTGATTCTTAAAGAACCAGTGTCTGGCTCCATATCTATAAAGTCTTCCTGGTTTTGACTTTATTTTTTTGCAATTTATCATCTTAGGATGAGAGATGAAAAAGTTTGAGCCCACTCTTGTTTGCGTACATTTGAGAAATAGTTATGCTGCCATGTATGAGTCAGCCCTTCCAGCTAACTGGCTGTGAGGCTCCCTTTCTGTTTAAGCTCTTTTGCAACAATTATTTAGGTCTAGTTTCTAAGCTCTTTTTGAAACCTGGGTGTTTTAGCCTGTTGGACTATTTTCTTTTCCTGGAGAAAAAAGTTTCTATCTTAAAAAGATCATGCCTCCAACTCCCCTCTGCCCTTCAGCTTGAAACACATCTTTAAAGCAGTAAGACAGTGCTTGGAAATAGCAGGGTTCTAACAACAGTTTCTTGACTGAATGGTTGCTGGTGCATGTTTATAAAACCCTGGTTCTGGTCTCAATGAAAATAACAATATATACCTTACACAATTCTAGGAAAGAAATGTGTACATGAAAGATATGATTTCTGCCCTTAGGAAACTGAATCCAGCCCTTGGTAATATACTTTATAGATTTCTTTTACACAGATACAATTAAACTGTGAAGGAAATTAAGAAACTGTCATGGGGACTCTTAGGATATAGTTCTGGTGCAGTGAAAAAGGTCACATCTTCAAAGGAAGTATGTTAGTTCATAAGCCGCAGAATTCCCAGTGTGTATCACTCTTGTTTAAAGTATCTAAATATTTCCACACCATAAATTTATTTTCTGGTGTCCATTTTATGCATTTGGATATTAAGTTTATACATGGCCTTTATAGCTGGAATCAAATCCAGATTTTTTCCAGTGATACCATATAAAATCTAAAAAAATATTGATTTATTTTTTGGGAGGTTACTCCTGGATTAAGGCATGTATTTGCTCCTGTTGCTAAAGAAATAGTCCATTGTGTGTT